AAAGATCGAAACATGGACTCTTCGTTTTCCCGCCGAAGAAAACCCTAATATGGAGAAGGCATCCTTCGATTGGCCAATGGTGTTGCAGCATGACGTCAAAGCGAAGTATCGACTGATTTCTAGAAAGTTCTCGGGCATGAGAAGTTTTTTCACCCGAGCGTTCGCTTAACCAATCAAAAGCCACGAGCGTTTGTATCCGTTCGACAAACCAATCATATTGCTCTCTTTCCGTTCTTTTGTTGTTTCTGTTTTGTTCGCGCGTTTTCATTTCAAGGTCATTCGAAAATCGCTCTATCTTCTGTTAAAAGATGGTACCTCTTTAACATACCTGGTTTAGATGACTGCAATTCTTCTAACTGCTGTAAATGCACCGTCTATATAATATGAATGGATCACTAGAAATCAGTAAGTATTGTTGTCTCTTTTACATCCATGAAATGCATCGATTAGCCCCTTTAGGTCCTTTTACAGACCAAAATGACAGATTTTCTTACCCTGTCATATACTTCAACTAATGAAATCCCTGCCCAACCTCGTCCCCAGGGCTTTTCCCTTAAAAATGGGAAAAGCCCTGGGGACGAGGTTGATCCCTGCCCTTTCATATACTGACCTGAAGGTTGTAAAAGGTGCCCCTTTCGGGCGGAGCCTCCCTGTATAAACCACTAGAGAGGTTCCCCCTGGCCCAAGACTTGAATTAAGGGCGTCAAAGACAGCCTTTGGGCAAACAACACAGCCTCATCTTCACAGCCTTTAGACTGGCGGCTGATCAGAAGCTTCAGCTCTCCGCGACACCTAGCTCTGGTATAAGCGGGATTCCTACGGGTTAAAGCAGGAAAGTTGATACAGTCAAACCTCTTTAATGCGGACACCAAAGGGACAGAACCAATTGTCCGCTTTACAGAGGAGTCCGTATTGTGGAAGTAGGGAATGTAGGATTTTTGGCATGATAGAGGTGTCCGTAAGGAGAGGTTAGATTGTAATAAAGTTGAAGAAAATTTTTTTTATTGAATATTTGGTGACTTTTCCATATGATATAAATATTTTGAGCCTCGTGCGAACCCGATGCCTTTTGATTTTGCAAAACTTTCTGGAATTTGACCTCCGTAAATAATCATACATTTTTGGCGACTCAGAATTAAAAACAGACTGAGAATATCAAATTCCCGCCCGATCTGTAACGTAACCACTTGATTTTAACATTTTTCATGTATCAGGTTCACATTTATAATATCGACGAATTGCTAATCTGGATCAAGGTTTTAAAGTCTTCATTACCTCTCCGTGAATGGGGGCCGAGCCGGTAAATGTACATTTTCTTTCCCTCCTTTTCAAATCTTTGAAATTTATCAGTCTGAAAACAACCCATTGACTGTAATTTGCGGTCTCTGATTTCTCAGCTGTTGAGGTATTATCGCTTTCTCGAGTGGAAAAAATATCACAGGAGATCATTTATTTCTTTTTGCTAGTGAATTTGTACACCAGGAAAGAGTTGTCGTGGATACAGACCTGTTCCAGAACTGTAATAACAGCTGATTGCTACGTACTTCCGGTAGCGTGCTGAATGTCGATTGGTCAATTCCTTTTTCACATGTACATCAATATTGTGCGCATGTTCGAAAGTTGGTATGAACTTTCCTCTCACAATTTTCCTCTTGTCTGGGAGGCCGGCGATTTTTGAGTGAGAAAAAGAACAACAACTGTGAGCCGACTGCGTTTTCCCCTCGCTGTAACGCTCTTTTGAGCTTCACGATGCAGCCTCTCGATCCAATAACCCTGGCAATAATTGCTGTGGTGGTAGCTGTTGTACTCTCTGCACTTCTGTTACTTCTCTTTACATCCCGTGAGGAGAAATTTGAAGATGTTCTAGCGGCCCAGCGTTCTGAACAAGATGCGTATCTTGTACGTTCTGCTGCTGTAAAATCCGCCAAACCTCGGAAGAAGTTCAGCAAGGGTAAGAAGAAATACTCAGACGATGGGGAAGTCATGGAAGAAGTTTCAGAGCCTTTGGTCGAAGAAACGATCGAGACAAGCCATGTCGAGGAAGACGAGTCGGGTTTTTCTCCATCCGGAAAATATTTTATGGAAGCTGACCCACCGGATGAAGAGAAGGTACCCTTAGCGGAAGAAAAACCGAGCACTGGGATTATGAAAGAGCGTCCAGGGAAAAAGAAGTCGAAAAAAGCTGCCCTGAAAGAGGAGAAAAGTTCCGTGAGTGAACACCATGTAAGTTTCGACAAACCACGTGAGGATGTGGAAGAGGTTGTAGCTCAACTCGATTCCGCTTCAACTTTGGAAAACGAGCCAGGCAAGTTCGAGGAACTCGAAATCGAAGAGCAGAAACTTCCTGACAGCAATGAAACAGCGGCTTCAGCTAAGAAGTCGAGGAGTAAACCCAAACCAGCCAAAGACAAGGGGTCTATTCAAGGTCAGTGTGGCGTCGATTGTAATAAGTAAGCTTAGTGTTATTTAGACTGTTCACAGTCCCCATCTTTTGTAGTCGTTCCAAGCGCTTATTTTGAATTAAAAATCATTGGGAGCCGTCGAGCGAAGTTTCTTTTCCGGCCTTCAACACAGCAATGCTAGTCACACAACGGAGATATTGTTACGTAAATTTTAGCAATTTATTGAAGCAATAGTCAGCTGAATGGTATGAATTTAAATCAAAGTTGTACACTTGAGAGATGAAAAAGTCAACGTGGCAATTTAGGAAAGCTGCAGCCAAGACGAACGCTTCTCTGCCCGCTGTTTTGCGTTTTTTTGTTGCAAAATAGGCGGAGTTTAGCCTGATCAAAACTAATATATATTCAGTTGTACACGAGAGCTCGAGGGAAAGAAAAATAGCGTACTTCTAAGCCGTGGAAATAAATAGAATAAATTATTTAGTAAAATGGTGAGGCCTGTGTCGCGATGTTTTGTTAGTAGTCAATACCAAGTATCATTAACAAAAGTCTTACATTTCTTTGTTTTTTGAGAATTTGGCTTCTAGTACTTGGCAGAAATATTAGTTTCGCAATCCATTGGCGATTTCTCGCCTTTCTTTTGATTTAGACGAGTTCATCAACGTTAAAGTTGCCATTATTTCTTATACCTGCTTGAGCGATTTTTTAAAATCAGTTTTACGATTGATGGGTAACTGAACTCTAGACTTCCTTGATTCAATGGAAAATCATTATATGAATTTAAAAACTTTCGGTTTAAAATGACCCCGATTTACACTTTGCTTGGTTTTACTCATTGGTTGGAAATATTGTAAATATCATTCAAACATCTATCCATCAGGTAGAAAACCTTAACAATATGTGTTTAGTAGAACATGACAAATAACAAAAAAAATTCAGACATAAAAAGATGGTAAAGTTCATAAATTATCACATTTCACTGAAAATGTAAAATTTGATGGTGAACATGATTTCCATATTTAACTCCAGACATTATTTTTTTTTAAGAGGATTAAAACCTCTTGTGAATTTTTGAAGTGGTCTTGTGGTTGCAAATGCATGTTTCTGCATCTTTCTAAAAAGTGTGAAGCAAGGTGTACCTACATAGTCCTTACAAAAAAGTCACAGTTTTCAACGCCATCTTATTAGGCAAATGTGTGAGAAATTATGTTTTTTGTACGAGAATCTAATGTCGAACAATTTCTGTAGAATGGCCATTCTGAAAAAAACATGACTTGTAAACTAAAGCGACAAATCAAAGGATTGTACTAAAAAAAAAATTGGGGGTTTACCTGTGCTTAAATTTCTCCAGAGGCTTGCTTTAGATTTTCCATATATTTGTCTGTAATTTTTCGTGGGACTTTCTTACAGACAAATGTATAGAAAATTTAAAAAAAGGAGTCCTAGGACTTTTAGCAGTAAATCGTCTTTATAAGAGAAAAGAAACTTAGCAATACAAATTTGTGAGCGTCAACACATATAAAAAGGGAGAAGGCCTCACTTCCGGTTGACGTGCGTTGCTCAAAAACGTCTTTGCTTAAGGTCCCTAATAACGTTTACATTGCCTCAGGCACGCGCGAGTAACATGCTTTCGGAGCCCTATAAAAGGTCGTCACTCCTAAAAAGGCCAGAGCACTCGATCACCACCAACGAAATGGGATGTTTGCCGCTCAGGGCCACCAACAAGACGCGGCAGGACAAGATCAGAAATGAGAACAGTGATGAGAAGATCAGAGAAGAGGTTGGCAAAAGGGTTTTCCGTGACACGTGGTGGATTAGCCTGGTGAGCGATGGTTATTCTTTTTCTTGGCATGACGCGTGATGGCTTAAAAAAATTAGCTGTGATGCGTGATAGGTACCCACCCCCCTTACCTTTGCCACCCTGAGAGAAATGGTAGGATTGGTGGCACAACACCATATACCGGTAGACAAACAGAGAATGAAATGGTTCGGCATGTGACGAGAACGGAAAACAACCAGCTCGCACAGCAAGCATACAACACTAGAAGACACATTGATGTCAGGTTATGACAGCGAGTGGACTTCAACTCAAGACAACCGGGTGAAGGGGACTCAACGAAATTTCGTACAGGGAGGCTCCGCCAAGAGGTCCAACCCCTTACCCTTATACATACCACTTTTGACGGAAAAGGTACCCCTTTTGAAATAGAGCGATTTTCGTTTGACCTTGAAAAGTGGTTTCGGTAAGTGTTCATTATTTGTTTTATCAGCCAATGGATAAAAAGATCGAAACATGGACTCTTCGTTTTCCCGCCGAAGAAAACCCTAATATGGAGAAGGCATCCTTCGATTGGCCAATGGTGTTGCAGCATGACGTCAAAGCGAAGTATCGACTGATTTCTAGAAAGTTCTCGGGCATGAGAAGTTTTTTCACCCGAGCGTTCGCTTAACCAATCAAAAGCCACGAGCGTTTGTATCCGTTCGACAAACCAATCATATTGCTCTCTTTCCGTTCTTTTGTTGTTTCTGTTTTGTTCGCGCGTTTTCATTTCAAGGTCATTCGAAAATCGCTCTATCTTCTGTTAAAAGATGGTACCTCTTTAACATACCTGGTTTAGATGACTGCAATTCTTCTAACTGCTGTAAATGCACCGTCTATATAATATGAATGGATCACTAGAAATCAGTAAGTATTGTTGTCTCTTTTACATCCATGAAATGCATCGATTAGCCCCTTTAGGTCCTTTTACAGACCAAAATGACAGATTTTCTTACCCTGTCATATACTTCAACTAATGAAATCCCTGCCCAACCTCGTCCCCAGGGCTTTTCCCTTAAAAATGGGAAAAGCCCTGGGGACGAGGTTGATCCCTGCCCTTTCATATACTGACCTGAAGGTTGTAAAAGGTGCCCCTTTCGGGCGGAGCCTCCCTGTATAAACCACTAGAGAGGTTCCCCCTGGCCCAAGACTTGAATTAAGGGCGTCAAAGACAGCCTTTGGGCAAACAACACAGCCTCATCTTCACAGCCTTTAGACTGGCGGCTGATCAGAAGCTTCAGCTCTCCGCGACACCTAGC